GTGTGTGTGTGTGTGTGTGTGTGTGTGTGTGTGTGTGTGTGTGTGTGTGTGTGTGTGTGTGCAGATTTGTGATTTTTTTCCCCTCATCATGATTAATAAATGGGAACGCTTTGGGCTTCAGAGCTACTGTCCCTTCACATCATTATGGGAGGACTTGACCCCATGTCCTCACCGTAAAGGAAGGGAAAAGAGTAAGGTGAAAGTAAACGAGACATGATGAAGGGACAGAGTTTACTTTGTAGCTTCCCCCCACATCTGCAGTCATTGAATATATTTCCGTCCCCTCCTGAAGGCCACAGTGGGGGACAAAGGCCTGTCTGTCCCCCCCCTCGATGGGCAGAGAGACTGGAATTTGCGTGAACACAGGCGCAGGCTTTGATTTCAGAGTGGGATGCACTGGCTTGGATTGAGTCAGTCAAGGAGGAGGAGTGGATGAAAGAGGTGCGATGAAGAGAGAGAGAGAGAGAGAGAAATGTGGGGGGAAACGAGGAAGGCATGAAGGACCTGTTGAGAGAAAGTCATAATTAAATTAAAAAATGMTCAGTAAAATAGAAGAAGACATGCGAGTCCTGAACACCAGGGGTGAAAATAACTATTTTATGGGCGAGAATGATAGAAAAAGTGAGACAGCAAAGATAAAAAATAAAGAACAAACTTTGTGAGAGAAAAAACACTGACTAAATTTTAAAACAATGATTGTTCCTTAAAGAACATGTAGCTCTCAGACTGAGTTTTAGCTCAGTTTCTGTAAAACCAGCTGAGGTAAAGACATTTTTGAGTGAACGCTGTTGATTATTTGTGGAAATGAATTTTCACCAACAGTTAATCAGTTGTAGATGTAGGTCTAATGAATATTTCCTAAATGTTTCATTAAAATGTGCCCAGTGGTTCCCCAGATAATTTGGTAAAAAGACGAGCAGAGCTGACTCAAACTGTTAATTCTAAAGTTTTAACAAAGATAATTGGAAACAATGTGCTCTAAATGTGTTGGAAATGACCTGCAGCTACTACCACACCAAGTTTTAGCTAAGGTGTTTTCGTTTAACTTTCATTAAAATTTGTCCAGTGGTTCATGAGACAGTTTGCCAACATATTTGACTGCAAATATACTGTAAAAAGGAAAAAAATAGACTTAGAAATGGTGAGCATGGTTCAGCTAACAGCTAATACTGGAACTAATTGTCCGTTTAGTGAATTAGCTTTTTCACTAACTTTGATTGAAAACTGTTAGTGAACCAATTACCTTCCACTAAAGCAGGGATGTCCAAAGTGTAGCCTAAGGGCCATTTGTGGCCCCTGAACTGATTTTATGTGGCCCCTGACTTCAGTTTAAGAATTATACTAATTTGTTTACAAATTTGTCCTCCCAGCGCATGTGTTTAATCTAGATGGAGACTTTATATTTATTATTAGGGTAAATTTATCACAAAGTAAAATCATATAATAAAAAATATTGGCAGCAATTCCAATTATTTGTCTTTAAATAACTCGACTCATAGCTTTTTTCACATAGTGACTTGTACTCAAAAGCTGATTTTGCTGCACTCCAATCTGCTTTTAACTAATTTATTAAATTAGTCTGAAAACAGCAAGCATTTTCAACGAAAGAGTGACCTAAATCCTGATTTTATTGATCAGAATTGTCTAAATTGGGTTATTTTTTCCCCAATTGAAACCTAGAAAATTGAAAAAATTCTTTCAATAAGGGAAACCTGCAAAACACTTTTAAACTTCTGGATCTAGATTAATTTACACATCCATTTCTAGCAATAAATCTGACTCCTTTGTTTGTTGAATTAAAGTATTCCATGCTTTGTTTATTGTTGAGCAGGTAAAGGAAAAATATTTCTGGCCCTCAAGTCCTTCTGACTTTATGATTTTGGCCCATGTGACAAAATGTTTGGACCCCCCTGCACTAAAGGCTTTGCCATCTTTAAGCCCACTAACAGCTAACTAACAAGCTACAGGTTTGTGTCAGTCCCACCAGTCTTCAGCTGGATGGATGTGTGACAGACTGGGTGTCATCAACAGTTAGCAATTAGCTGTTCCACTAATATTTAGCTCTTTAGCGTTAGCTTTTGCTATTTATTTATTTTACTTGTTTAGCGATGGCGTTAGCGAAGCTACAGTATATTTTTAGTTAGCAGATTATAAGTTCATGAAGCTAACTTTTTGGTTAGCTGCACCCACTGTACTGTATCTCAGCTGCTAACAATCACACATTTTAGCTCAGTATTTGGTAATCCACTGAGCTGTAGCCCATTTTATTCGCTTTAATGTCAGTTGTTTGTGGTAGCCATCTTGAGTTTAGTCGACTCCAAAGGGTCATCAATTGTACTGTAGTTTGGACATCCATTGATTATTTTCTGAGTCTTATTAATGGTTGTCCAGTGGTTCACGGGATATTTTGATAAAAGACATTATTGCCTGCTTTTTGCCTTTTGGTGGCAGGCAATAATGAAAAAGATAAAGCTGAGAATGCAAAATAAATAATGATTTAGCTAATTTCCAGGGTTTTCTCATTTCAAAGGTTTAGCATTTTGCCTTAAACGTGAACATGAAAAAAGTAAAGATTCCTGATTTCTTTTTGCCTTTGACTGAATCTTTGCTTTGAAACAGCAGATTGACAATGAGGCCAACTGCTGTGACAAACAGATGGACTCGGTTCCCTTCTCCCTTTCATCGCAGCCAACCAATCCTACACCTCAGATTGCTGCGTTAATTAAATGTTGACTTGTACGTGGGTCAGAAATCCGTCTTTTTAAATGTGGGACTGCATAAATAAAACGGGAGAGACATGATCAGTTTGTCTGCTAATGTTCTCGAGGCAGTTTTGCTCCACATTTTGCTTCAGATACAATAAAATCAGTGGGCTTTTAGGCTGTCTGCCCAGAGTGCAGAGGCTGAGTGTGAAACACTGATTCTAGCTGTCACATTATGACGCCATGGAAATGTTTCTCTTTCTTGTTAAATAACAGTTGACAGTAAAGGCCTATTTGTTGATTTTTGGAAATCTGTCATGTTCACAAACATACAGCAGAAATATAAAAAAAAAAAACCTATTTATACAGAGACTGCTCAGTCATCGTCTCCAGTCTGGTCTGGATGTTTTCTCATGACGTCGCCTGTGTTTCAAGGAGACACTTTTAATCTTTACCGCATATTTATTGGCTGCTGCAAAAGTGTGACAGCAAGCACTGCAGGTGTTACCTCCCAGTCCCCTCCTGGGCTTTGCTTTGTTGGACAACTGCAGCAAATTCTCCTCAGTACAGAAAAAATAAACCTTCATGTTTTGTCTTCAGATGCCTCTGCAGCATCGCTGTAATCCTTCTAAATGCTTCTAAATCTACAAACTAACCTGCTCCTGTTGTTCCATGCAGCTTTCTGTTTTAAATTCTGCTGAATCATTACAACCCTTCCCATGACATGATTTATCCCGAGGTTTATGAATATTCTGGGGGTTATATGTATGCATGTCATAAATAAATATTGTGTGACAATAATTCCAAAAGCCAGATGGCCTCATAAACACGCACACACACTCTAAAAAAATCCACTGTCAAGATAGTTTTCGCACCAAAGGCAGCAACACAGACAGATAAGGTCGTGTCAGATTTACTGAAGCTGTCAAAATGGCAAGATTCTCTGGAGGAAGATCTAGTAAATAAAAAAGTAACATAGGAAAAAAGACAGAGGTAAAGATTTATTTTTTTTATAAATAATAAAACATTTCTACAATGTGATTCTAATATTCAAGCCAAGGTTCAGGCTGTTTTAAACATGACTTTTCCTTTAAACAAACTGTTCCTGCTGACACGACTCATTAAAAATCACCTTGAGTTCCATTAGATGTTGCTTTGATAAGATTCTGCACTGATCTTTGTTAAGGCAGATCAAAGCTTCATTGCTGCTTTAAACGATTAAAAAAACTTTCATATTTTGGTGGCATGGTGGCTCAGTTGGTAGAGCCGATGCATCTCAGCAAGAAGGTTGCAGGATCAAATCCCGGCCTGTGGACCTTTCTGGGTAGAGTTTGTTTGTTCTCTTTATGGGTTTTCTCTGGGTACTCAGGCTTCAGACCAGAAACATGACTATTTGGTTAATTGGTGACTCTAAACTGTCCCAAGGAGAGACTGAATTGTTGTTTGTCTTGTTGTCTCTATGTGTCCCTCTGATGGACTTGCGACCTGTCCAGGGTGTACCCCACCCCTCGCACTGTGACTGCTGGATATGGGCACCAGTGACCATGAAAGGAAGAAGCGGGTTTAGACAATGGATAGATTTATATTTTCATTAAAGGGATCCTTGATTAGTTGTAACATTAGACTTTATTTGACAAACATATATTTTAACTGTAAAATAAAGACTGTAAGGATGCTTAGTTTTGTAAATTTAAAAAAATATATTTTAACATGGACAGAGCCATTTTATTTACACGCAAAGCATTCTGGGTAAATGCTGACGTGGATAGGTCCTTGGTGTGAGAGAGCTATATCCAGACTGATGGTTAATCTTGGACAATATCTGACGATTGACTCTTTTAAATGAAACCAGAGAGCGTTGACAGAGAGGAGAAGGTAGAAATGACTCAGCCTGTAACTGAAAATATGGATGGAGGACAACAGAGCTGCTTCATGGAAGAAGAACCTTAGCCTGTTAGCCTTTGCACTAGCACCGACGCTGTATTGCCTTATATGTATTAGTTCACCACTAACACGACAAACAAGCTAAACTGTTGTCCTCCATCCATATTTTCAGTTACAGGCTGAGTCATTTCTACCTTCTCCTCTCTGTCAACGCTCTCTGGTTTCATTTAAAAGAGTCAATCGTCAGATATTGTCCAAGATTAACCTTCAGGGTGGATATACAGTAACTCGCTAGTAGCCTTGCACCAAGGACCTATCCACATCATCATTTACCCAGAATGCTTTGCTTGTAAATAAAATGGCCCCATCCGTGTAATAGACTTTTAAAC